AAAAAAAAAAAAAAAAAAAAAAAAAAAAAAAAAAAAAAAAAAAAAAAGGAAAGAAAACAATATGAAGAGAATATGGAATAGACTCCAATTGGGGAATAAAACAGAGTAAATTTCTCTCTTTTTAATTGCCATCACCATCCAAATCCCTAGCCCAGAGAAACCTAAAGACATTTCGAGTCAGGGCAAACAGTCCGAACTCTGTAAGGATCCTTAAGGTCCATATGACAACACGACCCAATTAATGTCATCAAGAAGTGACTTGATTCCTGTATTCAGTTACTCATCCATATTCTTCCCTGTTTCACATAGCATTGAGAGCTAAAATACGCCCTGAATCCCTTGTTTACTAACAGTAGAAAAATAAATTTTAAACAAGAACAATTTAAATTAAACAACTGATCATGTCTAACATGGTAAGTAGCAGCTATCCGAAGACATCACTGATCCAGAAGACTAAGCAAGGCCAGTGGTTGGTGCTATGTACATCGATACCAAACATGACAAACACAAAAGAAGTTAGAAACCGGGCATAGGACTGCAGTCTGGAAGACAGAGGAAGGGAATACCATCTTGACATTTCTACTGATGCGGATTTATGATGTGCTGTATTTTTAAATTAAATATAATTGTTATTATAAGTACAATTGCTAGTATGAGAATTACAATATAAATGAAGGCCCTAAACGTTCCTTTCTGCTTTTCCCTTTTCTGTTCTGTAAAACCAACCACGACATAATTGTGCTCAACCGCAAATGGGAGTGACTGGGGTAACAATAAATGTGCCTCTTTCGCATCTCTCATTCCTCTTAAATTGCAAAGAAGGATTAGAAATACGTATTTGACCCAGATCAGGCAACAGTTTCCTAGATATGACACCAAAAGCACAGGCAACAAAAGAAAAAACTGATGAATCGGACTTCATCAAATTAGGAAACTTTTGGGCTTCAAGTGACATCTACAAGAAAGTGGACGACCTACACAATGGGGGACGTTTGTTGCAAATCACATACCTGATTTCGGACTAGTATCCAGAAGGTATAATGAACTCTTATAATTTAACAACAAAAAGAGAACCCAATTAAAAAATGGGCAAAGGATCTAAATAGATATTTCTTGGGGCGCCTGGGTGGCTCAGATGGTTAAGCGTCTGCCTTCGGCTCAGGTCATAATCCCAGGGTCCTGGGATCGAGCCCCGCATCAGGCCCGCTGCTCAGCAGGGAGTCTGCTTCTGCCTCTCCCTCTGCCTCTCCCCCTGCTTGTGCTCTGTCTCTCTCTCCCAAATGAATAAATAAAATCTTTTAAAAAATAAAAACTAAATAGACATTTCTTTAAAGATATACAAATGGCCAGTAAGCACATTAAAAGATGTTCAACATCATTTGCCACTACAGAAATGCAAATCAAAATCACAGTGAAATACCACTTCACACCCAGGAGGATGGCTAAAATCAAAAAGATTATTGTAACAAATGTAGGTGAGGACATGGGAAAAATCGCAACCCTTCCACACTGCCGATAGGAATCTAAAACGGTGCGGCCACTTTGGAAAACAGTTCCTCAAAAGGTTAAACATACAGTTGCCACAGACCAGAGCAGTTCCACTCCTAGGTACTACACCCAAGAGAAACGGAAGCCCATGTCCAAACGAACCCTTGCACACAAATGTTCACAGAAGCTTTATTCATCACAGCCAAAAAGCGAAAGCAATCCAAATGTCCGTCATCTGCTAAACGGATTGGCAATCTGTGGTCTATCCCTGCAATGGAATGTGACTCAGCCATAAAAAGGAACAGAGCACTGACACCTGCCACAATGTGGAACCCTTGAAAACAAGATGCCGCCTGAGAGAAGCCAGACACAGAAGGCCACGGGCTGTCAGCATCCGCAGTGTCCAGAACAGTCCAATCCCTAGAGCCAGAGCGTGGAGGAAGAGGGGCCTGGGATGAGAAGCGGCCACAGGAGAGACTGCAGAAGGGCACAAAGGGTTCTTTTTGGGGTGATGGAAACGTTCTCAAATGGAGTTGTCATGAGGATTGTGCACCTCTACACATTTCCCAAAAAAATCACTGAAACAATCTCTTTTCCTTCCTTTTTACCTCTCCATGGAGGCTTCTCAGTAAGACAGTTAACACCACCCTCTCAGTATAATCATCTCAATCCTGACTTTGTCGGAAGGGATCCATTTTTCCCTTCTCTAAACTAGACCGATGGGACTAGACAAGAAAATACTCAATTTGAAAACAAGCTGAAAAAAAAAAAAAAAAAAGAAAGAAAGAAAACAAGCTGCAACACAAAACACAATCTCAGTTTTCAAAGCCCGTCGCTCAAAAAGCGGTGGACGGAGAACCGCTGGTATTCTTCACATGCTCTCAGGTATCAGAACTTTTGTGCCCGTGATCGGAAAGGACATACCCACCTGGTCACAGCAGCAGCGAAGGTCGCAGGCCCCGGCTGTCAGATTACAAGGACAAGGCCCAAGGGGCTGATACACCTGGTTGGGAATTACCGTCACATTCTCTGAAAAGTGCAAACAACAGAGAAGTCCAGCTATGAAACACTCTGACAAAGCACTGCCACGTTTTTTGACACACAAAAGAAGGCTGAGTCATTGTTTTACAAATCACCAGGGCCAAATATGACACATGAAGGAATCCCTGAGCTACGCATAAACCCTAGCTGAGGCCTGTTATCTACTACACCCACAAAAACCCAAATATAGGAAAATACGCTAGTTATAATAAACTGAAAGTCACGGTTGATCTTAAAGATAATCAAGTGACTAAAACGGATAAGTTGGGATAAATGTAATGCACTGATTTTGTTTTTCAATATGCTGAACAATCCCTTTCATAACACGGCTGACATTGAGCACTGACTCCTTCAAATTCATTACCTCCTCCAGCAGATAAAACCAAAACTACGGTGACATTTCAGACAGCTTATCTGGGGCCTATATGGCCACAAGATTATATCTAGTCACGCTACCTGCTCAACCTCATATCCTTTCCCACTGCAGACCCGACTCTTCACATCCTGATTCTGGTTCAAGTGTGAAAGTGTGGAGGAAACTAATAATTTTTACATGGATTGGAAAAGGAATATGTTATATTCCATTTCAACCTCCGAACTCAGAATCCAGAGAGTAATGTTTCCAGTTTCTCTGCAATAATTCATTGGGTAAAATTTTCAGTCTGCTGAATTTTACTTTTTTTTTTTTTAAGGAGGCTTCACACCTAGCGTGGAGCCCAGTGCAGGGCTCAAACTCACGACTGTGAGATCAAGACCTGAGCCAAGATCAAGAGTCAGATGCTTAGCCAACTGAGCCACCCAAGCGCCCCCTGAATTTTACTTTTGCCCTAGGATTTGGTACATGAAAAACTATGTAGCAATTCTTTTTTTTTTTTTTTTAAGATTTTATTTATTTGACAGAGAGACAGCCAGCCAGAGAAGGAACACAAGCAGGGGGAGTGGGAGAGGGAGAAGCAGGCTTCCCGCGGAGCAGGGAGCCCAACACAGGGCTCAATCCCAGGACCCTGGGATCATGACCTGAGCCAAAGGCAGACGCTTAACGACTGAGCCACCCAGGCGCCCCTGCAGCGATTCTTCCTTTAAACTCTATGTAACAGTTAACTTCAATGACATTGACAGTTGAAGTTCTCTAAAGAACCTCTAACTACATAGTCTATGCTACAGTATAGTAGAACCCCAGTATGTCAATGGCATCGGGAATGAGGAGAAGGTCTCAATAACAGACTATTTTATCAGGCAAGGCTCTGACCATCAGCACAATCAAACCCATGGGATGGAAGCAAGGCATTTTAGAAATGGGTTTTACTATATGATCTATTGATAGATGTTTGTGTATCTATCTATGTCTCCTCAGCCATTTGCTAGTTTCATTGTTACTAGGCATACCATGTACCTCCTGTCTGTCCGTCTATCCTTTTTCTTGTTCTGAGCTCTGACTGGGTGCAAAACGTTTCATACCTTCATGGGGTCAGAGCAGACATCTCATAATTACCAGTATACAAATACTCTAATTTTCCTAAGTTTGGCTATTCGTACAAAGACATTTTGAAATATTACCTAAATGTAGTGAATATTTTTTAAAAGAATATTTATTACCTAAATGTAGTCAAAACAGTATTTTTTAAAAGAAAAAAAGCCACCACTTTGAATGGTAGAGCTACCATTAATCCCTCCCATACTTTTTTTTAAGCACCCACTGGATATTATTTTGTTGGTTTGTTTTGGATTTTAAACATTAGAGATGGTTTTTTCTTCTAAAAACAAAACTTTAAGCCTTTAAATAGGTCACAGATTCACATGTTCAAAGAACTCGAGGATCTAAAAAAAGGTACATGGTGAAGTCCTCACAGCCGGCCCCTTCCTGTTCCCACATCACTCTCCCAAATGGTCTCACGTGGTTAGCGTCGCGATAGCCTTCCAGAACTTCTTTATGCAAATATAAATATATATTCTCACTCCAGGCTGTAGGCACCCATCTGCATCTGCTTTCCACGGCTGGCGATTTGTCTTGGAGACCCTTCCACGCCAGCACGCTGAGGGCAGGGTGGCCACTGAACGGCACCATCTTACCTTAGCCTACCCTCCTCCACTTCCGTAATCACACGGAGGACCACGGGGAGGGCATGGGAGGAGGGGACGGACCCTGTAGGAGTCTCAAAATGACAGACCTTTGCTACTGAGGAAGAACGTGTCTCCCTTCATCCCAGATGACCGGAAAGGCAAGAGATGCTGGAGCTGGCGGCAGGAGACGGGGGCATGGCGGTGGCACCCCTCAGAGCGGACCCCTCACCACCGGCACACCTACGTTCCCTTGTTCTGAGAACACTGCCACGGGAAAGGGAGAATACTACCACTGTCAAGTCTACACACACACGTGTGCAGTGATGTCTGCTACAGTGCTGGTTACACATCACAAGCCGGAAGTGCCTTCAATTCCAGCAGGAAGAGGCCAGTCAGATAAACAAGGGTTCTCCACACCATGGAACACCATGCAGCTATTAGAAAGAACGAAGTGAACCGACATTTATATGGAATTTATTTTAAAAGTTTATAGAATAGTAAATGGTGTGTTGTGTGTTGTGTGTGTGTGTGTGTGTGTGTGTGTGTGTGTGTGTTGTTTTTAAACAAGAGAACACCACACTCTTCCATAAATTAAGAAGCCGCGTCTGAAAAGGCAGCTGGTGGCAAAAGCTTTCACTGAAAATCTATTGTGGGTTTTTTTGTTTGTCTTGTAAACTCCTTCATTAATCTTTCCCTTGCTTTTTTAGTTTTTGGTTTTGTTTCAAGATGGGGTCACAAGAATCAATACACAGAAACAAACTTCACTTTCTCCCTTGAAGGCAGTCTACAAGGATACAAACACTAGAGTAAAACAAAAGACATCTTAATTAAGTAAAATAGGACAAAGTGAAAATTTCTTAAAATAAGAAAATTAAACAAAAGGGAAGTATGTTTAGAAAGGCAAGACTGACTCAAGAGCAGCGCTCACAGATCACGTGACATATGCTCTGCGTCCAACAGATAATGTTTGACATGAATGTTTTTACCATCAAAGACTTTACTTGCCTGAGGCATTATGGGCCAAAGAAGAGTTGGCATAAATTTCCACTCGAATGAGTAGATGGGCTAAACAGGATGAATTGCGAGATGCTGAAACCAGAAGAGTCTGGACCATACACAGGGACTCTGAGAAGGAATCCATTTCATTAGAGGAACACCTTTGCCGACCCCTCTTCAACCTCACTGTCACATCCAACGCATTCTGAAAGGAAAATATGCTGTCCCTTTTAAAGTGACTCAACACAGCGTGAATCATTTTAAGAACACATAATGGAAAACACAATAAAATCACACGTCAGCCTCAGTTCACTTTACAAAAGGAGAACCGTATACAAAGATGACATTGTTCTGTTCAATACCCACCCTGTTGCAAGCCCTGATTCCTTATCTTCAGTTTAACAGAAAAGCAAGCCACTTTTGGATAGAGAAGACTAAACACAGGTCTGTCTGATAAATTAACTCAGTGTGTCCACGTCTTTTTAGTTTCTTTATCATCCTACCAGCATATCAGCAGAAATTAAATACACACACAAAAAGTCAATGAAAACAGTCCCCAGTTCCTGGGATGCAAGTAAAGTCTGCCTTTCTCAGCCTTTAACTCCAGAGTTGATGTCTTGCACATACTAGGCACTCAATAAAACATTTATTAAATGGAAGATATTTCACTTCTCCCGGCTTGAGTATCCTTACACGTAAGCTCAGAGCAGGGTGAGGTCAGTGGTTCATGAAGATTTTTGAGTCACAGATCCATCTGATAATCTGATGGAAGCTGCCAACCCTCTCATCAGAAAAATGCACATATAAAGTTACAGACAATTTCAGAAGGTTCACAAACTTCTTGAAACTCGTCCAAGGACCCCTGATCCTAGCGTCAGCACCTCTGGGCTGAGCGGGTGCCTACTAGATCTGATTACCCACAGTTTCATGGTAGTTCCAAGCCCAGAGAAAACTGCATCATGTCCAACCACGAGAGCAGGGCAGAAACACTAACTGTGGGTCTCCACAGGTGCTACCAAGAACATTTTTACCTCTGGCCTTATCACGGTGGGGGTCACAGTCAAGCTCCAGTCTTCTGTCTCATTGGTCGGCACTCCACAAGCTGGAACCGGCAATAATCCTTTAGGAGAGAAGATTAGGATGCAAGGCAGTATTGCTCAGCAGCTAAGGGTGTGCACAATGGAATCAGGCTCCCTAGGAGGGAATCCTGTTCCACGCCGAGGACTGGGCCCATCACAAGCTGTGCAACTTCGGACAAGTGACAACCTCTCTGAACTGTAGTGTCTGCATTTGTTAAATGGCATGAAAGGATATTACTGCTCTTACTAGGAGAATGTGGGGATGCGTATAAAGCACAGGGGACAGACAGCTCAGTGAATGCTAGCCATGACCGTCCCAAGCTTTCTTTCCCTGAGCCTGTCCGTTGGTCCTCTTTGGCCCACAGCAGCCCCCTATCCCTGCTCCCATGGCGACTTTGCAGGGGACGGCGGCCGGGCACCCCGGGGATGCCACGTCCTGCGATGCCACCTCGCCGGCTCCGTGGGCGGCCTGGCCCTGCGCCCCCCAAAACGCCACCCCCACCGGAAGGGCCCGACGTCTTACCTTCCTTGTCCTGCAGCAGGGCCAGGGACACGGTCACATCCTCGGTGCCTCCGACCAGGGACGCACTGACCGCGGGGCCGGTCATGTGGATGAAAGCAGGAATGAAAACTAGGCGGCAAGGAAGGGGAAGGGCGGACTTACAAGTTGCAAGGACTCCGGGAGGAGCCGCGAGTCTGGCCCCTTAAACGCCTCGTCCCCAACCCCCACTCACCCCCACCCCCGGCCTGCAGGCCCCTGTCCTGCGGTACACACCCAGGTCGCCCCACAGAGGCCGCAGGACGCCCTGCAGAAGGAGGAGCCCCAAGAGCAGAGGGGAGGGCGGCGGCAAGCCCATGCCTGAGGCCTGGCGGGGCTCGCTTCACAGAACCCCGCCCGCCTTAGAAGCCGGGAAGCAAGGGACCCGAAGACCCGGCCCGCACCGCCCCGCCGCCGCCATCTTGTCAAGCCAACCGGAGCTATGGCAACCGCCAATCGGCCGCAGGTCTGAAGGGCGGCGGGCGGTGATTGGGCGGACAACAGGAGAGAGCCCGCCCCCGGCCCGGGACCCAGCAACCCGGCCCCGCCCACAGGCCCTGGGCCCTTGAATCTCGACCCAAGGGATCAGGAAAAAGTAAGAGTCTGCGTCCAGTTTAAAGAGCTCCCCCAGCCCAGACTTAATTCAGTCACACGGCATGAGCGAGCCTACAGGCACTGGCTTCTTAAACACGCTCCTTAATAAACTTGATTTTTACGGGGACTTTGGGAGAAAGACAAGAAGGGGGTGAGGCTGCAGTGCTGTAATTGTGTAGCGCTGCTGAATTGTTACCCTCCCAGTTTTTTGAAGTTTTGTGTTGTTTTTATCGCACAGAGCTGTCAGCGCTACGAAAGCAGATCTTATCAAAGAATACAAAACGTTTTGCCCAGCGTTAGGACAGATGCCAAAGTATCTGAATTCTTACGTCAATAGCTTCAAAGCATTCCACGCCTTATTACAGTTCCGTGACTAGGCGTGCAGGCTCTGAGGTCGCTGTGGGATTTCTCCCTCCTTCCGCGGTTAAGTGCCCTGGGGCAGCTCACCCAGCCTCTCCAAACTTGAGTTTCCTCATCCATAGAAGGGAGAGATGAGTCCCTCCCCGATAGGATTGTGTGAGGATTAAATGAACTATAATATACTGATGAGTCTAGACCAATGCCTGGCATATAGTAGGCACTCAATAAATGTTCACTCATTGTTAGCTCTCAGAGGGATGGTATGCCGGTTAGCTGAGAGGATCCATGTCTGCACGATACCTGATAACAGCAAATGCCAAATAAATGTTTGCCGTATTAGTTGATCAGCAAACCTAACATTCTGAAAGCAATATGAAAGCTGAGGTTCTACAAATGCCTTGCACTGAGCTTTGCTTTGTTCTTACACTCTTGCAAAATCGTGGGATTTGTGCAGCGTACTACTGGCAGGAAATCCCAGCCACCACCCCGCACATCAGCTCTAGGAGAACTGCAGTGTTATATCTCTTGCTATCTGGGACTAAAGCCTAGGAGAACGTTAGGAGCAGGAGGGTTGTCAGACACATTGCTGTTATTTACTATTCCTTAACAAGAGAGTAATAAGCGTTTTCATTGAGGAAAATCGTTGTCTTGAATTACTTGTAATCCCTGGGTCAAAATCATTGTCTTGAATTACTTGTAATCCCTGGGTCAAAATCATTGTCTTGAATTACTTGTAATCCCTGGGTCAAAATGCTTTTACATCGAGGGGAAACATGAGAAAGTAATTTAGGCAAACACAAATGTTCGTGGGGGTGTTTTAAATACACCACAGATCTTGGGGCGCCTGGGTGGCTCAGTCGTTAAGCGTCTGCCTTCAGTTCAGGTCATGATCCCGGGGTCCTGGGATCGAGCCCTGCGTGGGCCTCCCTGCTCCGCGGGAAGCCTGCTTCTCCCTCTCCCACTCCTCCTGCTTGTGTTCCCTCTCTCGCTGTCTCTCCCTGTCAAATAAATAAATAAAATCTTTAAATAAATAAATAAATAAACCACAGATCTTTATCCTCACTGAGTTCTACTTTGTAGACCTTAACATTATTGCCATGTTGTCACATACTGTAGGTAGGCATCGTTAGTACCATAGTTACCTGTATTGGCAAATATCAGTCATCAGACACTCAAAATAGGAACATTTTTGTTTTAGGTCAGTTGAAGACCGTCCTTTCCTTACCAAACAACAGATAAACCTGTCAATTCTTCCAGCTGCGACATCCTGCTACAGTAAAGAAATGCACCAGGGGCACCTGGGTGGCTCAGTCGGTTGAGTCCAGCTCTTGTTTTCGGCGCAGGTCATGATCTTGGGGTCATGCATGGGATGAAGCCCTGCGCCAGTCTCCTCCCTCAGCAGGGAGTATGCTTGAGATTCTCTCTCCCTCTGCCCCTCCCCCTGCTCTCTCTAAAATAAATAAATAAATCTAAAAAAAGAAAGAAAGAGAAAGGAAGAAATGTACCAGATAGTAATTCACAGGGATTCTCTAACCCTCCCAATTCTGGGTGTGTGGTGGAGGAATGATTAAAGCGGGTTTTCTCTTTTTCTCCTCCACCCCAAGTTTTTTTGTTTTTTTTTTTTTTTAGATTTTATTTATTTATTTGACAGAGAGAGACACAGCGAGAGAGGGAACACAAGCAGGGGGAGTGGGAGAGGGAGAAGCAGGCTTCCCTCGGAGCAGGGAGCCCGATGCGGGGCTCAATCCCAGGAACCTGGATCATGACCTGAGCCGAAGGCAGACGCTTAACAACTGAGCCACCCAGGCGTCCCTTCCCCCCTAGTTTTATGTACTTTCTTTTCTTTAAAAAGCATACAATTGTTTTCTGTTCTAATCAGAAAAAATAGTACTTATTAAAAGTATGTTTTTATTTTCTGCTTTTGGTTGCATTAAGCTATTTAGCCAGTAGTGGAATGAACTGCGGAATTCTAGGGCATTACAGTTAAAAAAAGGGGGGGGAGGGGCTTCAAAAGTGAAAAATAAAATGTCATTTGTGAGGTACAATGACATTATTAAAGATTAATTAGAAAACTTTTCTTAAAGTGATTTGTAATCAATTCTATTAATATAAAATGTAGGCATAAAATGTAATTCAACTATTAATGAAAAGCCCTGGTTTTTAAATACTGTACTTCTCATATAAAAATGTCATTGGTATATTTACTCTCTTCTCCATTACTGCTGGAAGCATTCCATGCACTCTTCCAGGAATTACTAACAGCCTTACAAATCATGTTTGGATTATTTGAAAAACAAAATAACTTTTTTTTTTTTTTAAGATTTTATCCATTCACTTGAGGAAGAGACAGGAGAGAGAGGGAACACAAGCAGGGGGAGTTGGAGAGGGAGAAGCAGGCTCCCCCCGAGCAGAGAGCCCAATGCAGGGCTCGATCCCAGGACCCTGGGATCATGACCCGAGCCGAAGGCAGACGCCTAACAACTGAGCCACCCAGGCGCCCCCAAAATAACTTTTTTTAAAAAAGCAAGGGAGCAGGAATCTTTTTGGGGACTTACCTACAGAAGGTAGCCCAAGGGACTGCCTTTAGAAAGCAGATTGGATAGTCACAGCTATCTATTTATAAGAGAATAATTTCATGGTTTTAAAATTAACTCTTATGAGATAATAAATGTCCTACTTTTATGACATTAAAACATACATTATACTAGCTTCCTTTAACCAATGAAAATATCAAATATTTAAAATGTTGCTAACCTTGCTCCCAATATAAAATTACAAGCAAACATCAAATCTTTCTTCTAATAGTTTCATACTTAGAAACTTTATATTAAATACTTCATACCAATCTATTATTATGCAGTATTTGTAACAATATTTTCATATATAGTTTAGCAAGATTTTAAATTAAAGTTCTTCAGGGGCACCTGGCTGGCTCATTGAGTATGAGTACAGCATGTGACTCTGGATCTTGGGATTGTGAGTTCAAGCCCCACACTGGGCATAAAGCTTACTTAATAAAATAAAAGTTCTCCAGAGCTGAATAAAAAATTAACATTTGACCAAATCCAGTTAAAGTACAAACTTGAAGGTAAGCTGAATTAGCATGAAATAAACAAGCAAATGTGAAAATTTAAATTATTTTATTATAAAAATTTATATAAACCATAAACACAACAGTTAAAAATAAAACCTAAACAGAATTAAGCCAGTACACAAAACATCTCAAACAGAAAAGTAGTAACAAGAACCTGATCAGCTTCTTTGAAATTCTTCATCTTTTAGATATCTGATGACTTTCTAGACTTAAAACAGTGATTTCCATTACACTTAGGCTGTGAAATATTAAATATTATTTCTAAAAGACAAATAAGATTCTCAAACTCAAGGATTAACAAATATTTGCCAAGTGATAACCAAAACCTGTGTGAATTTAACAAAATTATAAATCCAAAGTACAAAAATCTACCTGAAATCATCTAGCCAAACACCAAATTACTTAAATGAGACTCAGCTTCTGAGATGGTAGAAAGAGAAAATTAAAATCTTATTTACATACAAAGTTGTGTACACAAATGGGTTTTTGTCAATATACGTTTAAAAACAAACCAAACCAGCCACCACTCCTGAAAACTCTTCTTACACTGTGATGGAATTTGAAGACTTCTAATAACCTCAAGGTTACACAGAAAAATAAGTTTTTTCTCGTTGAAATTACAAATAATTTTTCTTTTGAACCTATCGCACTTGTTCTAGAGAACAGTTCTCCAACATTAATGCTTTTTTTTTTCCTCATTACAAAAGGAAAGAATTCTATCTGGGGGACAGTACTGAACCGTAAAGAATCCATTCTCCACCAAGAAATTCCCCATCCAAACCCAGACACCAGCTTTCACACATAAGCTCTTCACACAACTATCTCTGAAAAGAAAGTCGTTGCCAGGGTACCACACCCTCTCTCCTCACTCACTTAAGATCAGACTTTGTACTTATGCAGCGACAAACAGTTATTACGTGGATGACTATGTCCAAACGCGCAGTGATGGCAGACAAAAGCAAAACTATCTGCTAGTATCTGAAGCTAAATCTCAACTTAGACAATAAGGATGATATTTACAGGACTGTCGTCAAAGTCAGCTGTTGATTCAAGGAAGATGGTCTATGTGGATCAGTGCCATTACTGCATGGTTGCTTTTTCCAGAACTGTGCTCAAATTTCACCGGTTGTACATTTCACAGGCAGAACCCAGACTCGGCTACAGTCAAAAGCCTACAATCAGTCAGGCTAGACTGACTGGCAAAGTGATCATCTCATTAAAAAAAAAAAAAAAAAAGAAAGAAAGAAAGAAAAAAGTCACTAATTTGTGCCTTCTTCTCCCTCTGTGGACAAAAACCAGTCAGAAAAGATTGCACAGAATGACCCCCTCAAATAAAGCAGTCTCCCAAAAGCACAGCATGAGGATAATGGTCTAGA